AAAGCATATTGTGATACTTAAAGACATTTTCACAATACAAGATTTATCACAATATTTTGACACAGACAAAATGCACTAGAAGTGCCAAAACCAACAATTTTGAATGCAGTTTAACATTTCACATATTGTGCTGCACAAAATAAAATTAAACATTGTAATGAAACATGTAGTTGGTCTGTGTTCTTTAAGTACTACGGACGATGTGCACAATATGCACAATACAATATTGCTACAAATATTCCCCATAAATGCTCTCTTTTAAAGTAAAAGACTAAACAAAGACTGATTTACGCATCGTTTTATGACTCTCCTGCCGAATAGTGTGTTTTATATTTTTAATGAAGTCTTTTTAAAAGACCTCATTGTTTATCTTTATCCAGTAAAAAATATGTTTTTAATTGGTTTGTTATTGTTTGTTATAAAGGCCTTTTTTAAAAAGCTCTGCTTGACTAATAAGCAATATGATCAGTAGATTACTCGATTACTAATATTAAATATTGTGACCACCGAATGCATCTGACTAGAGCAGATGAGTGAAATGAAAAACAGCCTAAAACGTTCAGTTCAATGAAGACACATCCCCACAAGAGGGCGCTGGAGCATTTTTTTTTATTTGATCAGTGTTGAGCCATCCCTCTCACTGCATCACTGTTGCTCTCAATCCGTCGCTACATGCTCTACCTCTGGACAGCAGAGACAGCAGAGAATAAATGCTAAGAGTTATTTCATTCGATAGGTGATAGGCTGCCACATCATCATTGATACATGATGATGTGGCAGTAGAACTCTACAGTTCATTTGACACAAGGACTGCACAAAATAGAATAAATAGAATACGTTGCATATATTGATTGCTATGTTTCAATGTTACTTTTATTGATTACATGGATGCCTCAATTCATCAAAACACTCATCAGGAAATGTGATTGATGAAGACACTTAGAGTACACAGCGAAGAATCATTAAGTTATTCTTTTTTCAGCATCTGGAACACAGCAGAAAACATATTTGACATAAAATTACAGAGAAACCTCAACAATAAAATACAATGCTAGTTTTTTTCAGTATTTAATGTGTCCACTTTTTGCCTTTCATCAAGCAAAGAAATCTTCAAGGATATTTTTCCACACCTCCAAAGTTATGTCTTAGAAGTTGCATTTTCTGCTTCTTGTGATATAATTCAGGGGTGCCCAATCCTGGACCTGGAGGTCTACTGCCCTGCAGAGTTTAGCTTCAACACTAATTTAACACACCTGATTCAGGTCACGAAGACTTTCTGGGGCATCTGAATATTAGAGCCATTTATTATTAGATATTAGAGTGTTTGGGATCTGAACTCCAGGGTGGTAGATCTCAAGGACCAGGATTGAGAGTCTCTGATCTAAATAATCTCAAACATATTCAATAATGTTGAGGTCTGGACTCTGGGGTGGTCAGTCCATTATTCTGAGAACACCAGAAGCTTCTTTGTTTCACTGATTGACCCCTTTCTTATGCGAGTGAATTATTTTTTTTATCTAATCTACTCAGAAACATCTCCTGAGCAATGAAAAACCTGTTGGCCAAGTTTAAATGTGGATGATGCACATTAAACTGGTAGGTTTTTGTGTTGAATATGGAAGTGTGAGTAATGAAGACTGATCCTTCAGTTCAGTCAATGCTGGAACCAGCTGATGCAGCCTTATAAGCTTCATCTTGTACACAAGGCCTTACGCAAACCTCAGTGATAGCAATGCAAAGGAAGGACCTGCTGTTTATCTTTAGATACAATGTTCATTTAATCACAAGTGTGAACAGTTAGCAGGCAAGTTAAGGAAAGCTAAATAAACTTGATTAAAATAAGCGTTTGCAAATATAGCAACCTATGTAAGTCTAGGAAAAAGTTGAGCTTACAAACAGACTTGCCTGTTAATAGTTTTGAGCTGTACCAATATTAGTATATCATGTTGCTGATCATGAAGGATCTGTTTGAAAATGGTTATGAATAAGAGGGAGATAAATAGATAAAGGAGGTACAATAAGTACAGATTGCTGAGAAATTGGGTATGCGTATATTATGTGCATATAATTGTGTCAATATCTATATGAGAGGCCCAATAAAGGTTTTAGGGGCCTGTTCGCCATGGCCCCTCTGCGGCATGGGGCCCCACCGTGATTGCGCTTCTGCTAATGATCTGAATTACATATTCTTCCAACATCCCTTAGTCCAGTGATATTTACTAATTTACTGCCACTGTCATTATTGCTGTAGGTTTGTTCTGTGGAGTTTTTTGAAGTTTTTCCCTTTGCTTGACAGAGTAAGTAGTGCTTAGAGGTGATTGTTTGAGTGTCATGTCAGTCATCATTTTGCAACTGGTATTAGTACATTAACATGTATTTATACCATCATTGCCAGACCAAAGCAGGGTTGTGCTCTGTTTTCGATTTGCAGCCAGACTTAGTGCACTTTCCTAAAACAGCAAGGGGGGCGGGGGTTGTGAGTAAGAGTGCTTTAGGATTTCCATTGTAAAAATCACATATTTTCCTATGAGTTGTCTTCTTTCCCGTACCACTGGTCGAACGGAGAGGCCGATATCCTGCAAATTCCTCTCGTTGTGTGGGATAGAGCGTGTGTTTTCCCCACAAGGAGCTTTCTAGAAGATTAATATCAGTACAGTCTCTGATATGCTCACAGTGTGCTAGTTGAAGTATAAGAAGTACGAGGCTGCTTACTTGTGCTCATAAGGATCTAAGTTATGTGGGGGGAGCTGATGCTGGGGGAGAGGGCTACTCATAATCAGGGACATCACCAGAACATCTGGAACAAGCAAGCACTGAGTTTAAATTTGAGAATAGATATTTGTGTTTCCCACACATTTGAAATAAACTTTGGTGCTATGGTGGGGGGCAGGAGGAGGCACTGAGATAAATACATATAAATAAATAACACTAACTTTTTTACGACCATTGCACATAACTATTATGTCTGCTTCACACAAATATTAATAACACTCAGACTTTTTATTTATAGGCTTCTTCAATGGTCTTAACCCCCACAGGACCACCACAGAGCAGGTATTCACTTGTACCGGTGCAACACACACTAACACTCCACCACCACATCAGTGTCACTGGAGTGCTGAGAATGATCCACCAGCCAAATAATACCTGCTCTGTGGTGGTCCTGTAGGGGTCCTGACCATTGAAGAGCAGGGTAAAAGGGGGATAACAAAGTATGCAGAGAAACAGATGGATTGTCTGTATTATCTGTAATTGTAGAACTACAAAGTGCAACTATATGTCAAGTGGAGCTGATAAAATGGACAGTGAGTGTAGAAATAAGGTGTCCTTAATGAAGTGGTTGGTCGGTGTAAGATATTTTATATCTCTTTAGTGATAAATTCAAAGGTTTTTAATAACATGAAACTGTATGATAATATTAAGTACAGTATTCATTTAGACATGTAGCTACAGTATTGATATTAATGTAAAGTTAGCTATCAAACAAGCATGTATAATTAGATCATTAGTTAAGGTTGTGTGTTAGATAATAGGACTAATAGGATAATAGGAGGAGATCAGAAATCAAATATTGAATTTTCCCATTGTTCTTTTGTCAAATACTCAGTCCAGTATTTAATTTCTTCTGTCTTTGCATATTTTTCACAATTAGTTGCATCAGATCTTCAACAAAATTTCATGGAAACGAAAATCACAATACACACAAAATACAGTTTTGAAATGAATATTTCATTCATTTATGGATAAATGTTATCCAGCAGTAACAGGCCCTGTGTGAAAGCGTAATTAGTCTTTTGTTACTCAACCGATATTAGCAAAGTTGAGTTGATACGTGGGATCAATTAAATTGGACACCCCCAGGCTTGATTCCTGCCAGCCCTACTGAATCTCAAAATTACTTAAGTAGAACCATTGAAATGCTGTGGCAGGACCTTAAATGGGCAGTTTGTGCTCAAAAGCCCAGAGTTAAGGCAATTCTGCAAAGAAGAGTGGGCCAAAATTCCTCCACAGCGGTATGAAAGACTGATCTTCAGTTATAGGGAGCATTTGGTTGCAGTTGTTGCTGCTGGAGCAACTGCCGCAATCAGTTATCAAGTGTAGGGGGCAAGAACTTTTCATGTTTTGCGTGAGAATCCTAAACCATTTAGTGTGACAAATATGCAAAAATAGGGGAAACCAGGAGGGGGTGAACACTTTTTCACAGCATTGTATGTTCAAATTTTACATACATTATTATTTTTATCATTGTTATTTTGGTAAATAAGTTGGATATATATATTGTTGTAATATATTGTAAGTCCAAATCAGGGCCCTTTAAAATGCCTTTTCCATTTATAGACTATATAAGCAACCAGTAAATGCTTTAAAGGTATTTTCTGCAATAAAAATAATAGGAAAGCTTGACTGTTTATTCTAAAAATTACTACCTTACATCAGGGCTCTCCAAACATTTTTTATTCAAGCTGAAAGAACAAAAACACTGCAATTGTGCATGTTGCCAACAACAGATCGTTGCAAATTAATCTAGGCTGCTGTCCAGCCCAGGCATTTCCATTACAGGTCATTCATGCTTTGATTAAGCACCAGGAATTCCCCAAAACAAAGTAATTCAGTTGCTGCTTAAACCTCAGTCTTTAAACCTACTTTATTTTCTTAAATACAAGTGATACCATTAAAAAAATACTAAGAACAGTCAGGAAAAGGGAATATTCATGCTTTGATTGTTTAAAAACATCGCTGAATTGTTTCATAAACCAAGAGGCATAGCATTAGTGTAGGTATAGGTATCACTTTAAACTAATAGCTCCAAACATCTCCTTAAAGTTAATTGCATTTTTAATTGAAACTAACTAGTGACATAAACACATAGGAATCTAAACAAGCTTTTCAACAAGGCAGAGACTACAAAGAGCCAGCAAATGCTTCTCACAACCACTGTTGCAGCCGAAGTACTAAACTACGTTTTTCATATGTGATTAAGAGTGCCTCTTTCTCCTTAGGTATGGATGATTGTTTGTGTATGGGGTCCGGCTAAGGGCCGCCGTTGCCCTGGCGTGTGCCCCCTGTTGGCTCAGCCACCAGCATGTACCGCAGAAACGGCCTTTCGGATGGTGCCAGTATCAGCTCCGCCTCCTCAGAGGTAAGTCTCTTATTTGTCATTAATGCAATGCATTGATAAGCTGCTTTTAGCATAGTTAGTGTTTAATTACAGTTTAGTACATTGAATTTGTATGAAAACTGGCTGTTTTGCCAAAGCAAAGGTACAGTTCATTCTCTTTATCGTGAATATAATTTATGTTTTTGGCAGTTTCTGTCATGATTACACTATTTGAAGAATATCTCTTATTATTATAAGCACTGCCATTCAAAGAGCTGAAACGATTAGTCAGTGTGGTCTAACAGCACTCTAGCAGCATAATATCACCTCTATCATCATGGAAATTACTAACCCAATTCCAAAGGGACAGTATGTGAAGTGCTGATAAAAACAGAAAGCAGTGATTAGTACATTTTGTTTGACCTGTATTAAATTGAAAACAGTACAAACACATAATATTTTATGTTTTACCTTATGAACTTTTTTGTTTTTTTGTAAATATGCGCTCATTCCAATTTGACGCCTGCTACAGGTTCCACTGTGTAAGCATGATTTCATCACTTAATTAATGTGTTTTTTGAACATTCCCATGTCACAGAATCTTAAATTGTTCCACTCCAAACTTTTTTGGAATGTGTTGTAGGCATCAATTCCAGAATGAATGTATGTTTCCAAAGGAAAAAAAAAACAACATAATTAATTAGTCTTCACGATAAAAATAGTAAGTCACATGAAAGCATTTATATATCAAAATGTATGAAATTAATTGCTCTAAGCAAGTTTACCACTTTGAATTGATGTCTATGGAGAAAATAAATCCATAAGTACAGACTCCTCTGTGTCCACACTAGGGGGAAAAAGCCTGAGTGACAGCTCATGCTTTGCTTTGGTGAGAAACAGGAAAAAAAGTACTCTCATCGTCTCTCATTCCCAAAGTTAGGCTCATTGCAGATCTTATCTGTCTTAACATGTGCAAATGGTACTTTTACCAGGAAACGAAGCCTGATGTTGTTAGTGGTTAGAAAAACCTAATTGACAGATTCTGTTGATGCAGCTTGGACTGATTGAAATGCTTTTTTAGAGCTTTGATAAATGAAGCGTAATGTAATGTATTTCAACATCTGGATCAAAGTTATACTGTTGCTTGTTTCAACATCATGCAATGCGAAATGCATAAGAATTTTGCACATTAGCGCTTTGGTTCAAATACTTTGAACCAAAAACATATTGTAAAACTGCTCCTAAATGACATTGCTTAAAGAACCCTTTGTTGCATCTTGATTTATTTATTTATTTATTTATTTTTTTTGCATGCAGTAGTTTTCAGCTTTCTCTCGATTTTGAACGCACCTTTCTTGGTTTTAAACATGTCTGTTAACAGTGCTGTAAATCCAGGAGCACTTCAGCCAGTCAGTAGTTTTGATTTTAAGTGAAAAATGTGGAGTGAGTGTATTTTGTCCATGCTTATGGTGGCATGTTGCTGGCAGTAAATGGCAGAAAATAACCTTGAAGCATCGTAGTCTGTCACATTTCACATGCCTATGCTTTGCTATAAGGTGACTAGTTTAAACATATGACAAACCATTGTTACCTTCTGAACACAGTCAGAGGTGGTTTGGGCTTAATTTAGCTAATTCCCAGTCTATTATGAATATGCCTGCATCGACCCTGATTCCCATTTATATGGTTAGATCATAAGCTTAGTTGACTAGCTCTGTACTGTACTGAAAAGGGCAAGGCCATGTGTGTTTACATATGTATAGATGTATTTCTTTTAGTAATTATATGTTGTGTATTATGTATGGGCCAAAGTCAGAGATCACCCTTCACTGCTTTCTGTTTCAGTCAAAAAAGCCATGAAGTTATCCCAGGTAATCTCAAACATTTTCAGTGACGTTGAGGTCTGGACTCTGGAGTGGTCAGTCCATTGTTCTAAAAACTCAAACAGCTTCTTTAATTGATTTGCAGATTTTCTTTTTTGTCAATTCCCTTTTCTCAGTACTGTCTTCTGGAAAGCTACACATCCTTTCATCCTTTCAGACTCATTGTGTTGAGTGGTCTTCTCACAGTGGAAGGATGGAGAGAAACACCAGTTGATTTTTTCCAGATCTGAAGCAAGAGTGGAGCTTGATGTTCTCCTTTCTGTCAATGATGAAAGCTTAAAGTACTTATTATCTGATTATGATAATGATGGTTTTGGTGGTCTGACAGGTCTTGCATGGTTGGATTCCCATTTTCTCTATATCTTTAATCATTTTTATTTTGTACTCCAGTTTTGGAAACTTCTGTTTTTTTCACTTTTTTTGGCTTTCTCCCATCTTATGCAAGGATTATCCTATAAACTAATCTCTACAGAAATGTCTCTGAAAAATGAACAACTTGTATATGACTGGAAAAATACTTAAATGCTGCTTTCTGAGTTTTGCACAATACTACAATTACATAGTGAGTTGCAAAATCTATTGCATTTTCATTTGATTTACATTCTGTAATGACAGCTGTTACACTAGAGGCTACGCTACTGACATTTTCTGTTTGCTTCAATGTCAGTAAATGACAAAACATGCGGTTTATTTTTGATAAACGAGACAATATGCGCAATAGTAAGGTTTTATCAAATTGAAGTCATAATGAAGTATCTCCTCTTCTACCCAGAAACACCAATGTGGTATGAATTGAATGTTTAGAATCTGTACTTTTAATAGAATGTCTCCACCTGTTTCAGTGAGCTATGAGTAAGAAATAATTTATATCTTGCACCATGCTTTAGTTATTGTGAACGATAACTGTGACTTGAAAGGGTTAATCGATACTCAAAGCCATTGCCTAACATATAACATGTCCCTAACCAAAGATGCAAAACATTTTGCCATTTGCACATTTTCATTCATAAGTAGAAAAAGACAGTTCCATAATTATACACATCAAACTTCCTTCATGGTGTTTTTTCACTGCCATGCCACTGTTCTAGTGGATAACTACACCTGGCTGTTTTCACTCACATATGCTGCGGGGAGGCTGTTTTTTATGATGGATGGTTTATAGTTTAGCAGTCGAGCGTTGCATTTCTCTAACAAGGGCTTCAGCTTGAAAGATTAGCATCGGGGATGAGGTAGCAACTCTGGCATCCAACTGACCTTTTCCAACCCCTCCACTCAATTCACCTCTCATTACACGACTCATAAAAACCAAGCGCAACCTGCCGAATTACTCTCCTGAAGGCTTTATGGTGCTTTTCACCCCACCTAGGGAAGTAGTGACCATAATTAACATTGGAAAAGCCTGCTGGACCTCTCAAACACATGCTTGAGTCAGATTCCTTTATTCAGATAAAGGGGCCACCAGTGTCCAGTTAAAACTATGGCAGTGGATTATATTATATGATGTTTGTCAAAGGGTGATCAGGGATTATTATGAAGAGCCTTGTGAGAGACTTAGACTTGAGACTTTGTAGAAGAAAACTAGACTGATAAGAGAGCAGCTATAAAGCAGTTTACGCTTGACCTAATCTCTAATTGTATGTTAATGGAAACATTAATAAATGGTGCAGGACTGAAACAAATGAATGCTGACTTTTAAAACACTTGATCAGTTGCTGTAGCAGAAGTCAACAGTAAACTGTCTCTGTTTTAGGGTACTAGCAGCTTGCTGTCGCTGGACGGGCCGAGTGGCGACTATGCCAAAAGCTATGATGCGGTTGTGTTTGATGTGCTAAAGGTGACACCGGAGGAGTTTGCGGTAAGTAAGAACAACTTCTTCTTTTGTTAGTTAGAAATTAAGACTGCTTAACACGAAAGACAATATGATTGACACTCTCACACATACTGTCAGAGTAAAGGGTCCCCAAGGTATCCTGTAAATGTACTCTCAAAGGTACAGCATGTCCCTAACATCCAATTGTGTATGTTAAAGAAGTTTTAAAAGTACACTACATTTACTTTCCCAGGGGAAAGTGGTCTGAATCAGGACTGAGACTTTGTGGTAATCAAGTCTGACACATGACCAAGACCAGATTGCACATTTTTGCAGAATGTATAATAATAAGAAGAAGAAGAAAGAGGGAAAAACTGAAAGTAGTTTATAGTTCATTGTACATTCATAATACATATATCCTTATACATGATATAGTAATATAATACCTAAATATAACATTAAATTGTATAGTATGTAGCCTGACATGTTATCGATAGTCAATTGTTATTATATTACAGTCTTAGTCCAACTTTGCATTGTAACATTTGGAAGCAGATGATGGTAAGGTTATTCTCCGTTCCTTCTTCTCTTAAACTTGTTCAGAATCACCAGCTAAAGTCAACTGAACATAAACCAAACAACATACATCCATTTTTGTTATTAAATAAAAACATAGTAACAATAACATTCCAATCTGCTGTTATGGGATCAAGTACTACAAAACTGTTTATAACCTTTTCAAAAATAAAATAAAAAGCCTGGAGTTAAGACAGGGAGTATGGAGTCATTGCAGCCTAAAGAATGTAACTGCAATGGAACATGATACAGTTATGTTCCCTAAGTGATGGTACTGAAGACACCCTACCACCCAACACCCTAGAGACAGTGTTTGCACCCTGAAAGGTACAGTTTTTACAAGAATACAACCACTGAAGTGATGGCTAACACACTGGGCCCAGTTTCCCAAATGCATCTTAGTTGTTTATCTTCACTGGTAAAAAAAAGTGTTTACTGTGATACTCGCTCTACCATTTAAGAATCATATTTGTGCCAAGAAGCTTTTGGTAAAGTATGAGTTATTGATAACTAGCAAAGCAGTATCATTAGCTAACATTCAGTCAGAGTTGTGTGAAATGCACAAAATGAATTCCATGTAACCACATCAAATATGTTTTTTGAAGACAAAGTAAGTCAGAAGAAAAGACATCTGGCTTATTTGCAGATCATTTAGCTCCAATGCCCAAACATTAGTCCAGTGATTTCTTCTAAAATGGATTCTGGTTTAACAGAACTGTAAGAGATGTTTGTTTGCTAGCAATTTATTTGAAGTCTATGTATATAGATACTTAATATGCATAAGCACAGAACAACATATCTATAAAGCAATACTTGAAAACTTATGTATAGCTCATGTCAATAATTACAAGATAACAAAAGGTGTTTTACAAAGTAAATGACATTGTATTAACATAAAGCGATGGCCATTTGTTTTGTTTATACCACTGTTATGAAGCATTATTCCCAGCAGCTTGTTTAGTTTAAAGCTTTGCGTCATTAAACATCTTATGTCATCTTGTGATTACTAGCTTAAGCTGTTCATAAGGTGTTGCTTTATAAAGATGCTATTCAATGATTATGCATGTATAGATAGCCTTCAAGTAAAGTGTTACCATTTATTTTAACCGCACGTAATGTGATCACAAATGTGCAACATACATGTACATGTTTTTTTTTTTTTTTTTTTGTTTGGGGTCGGGGGGTTGTTCCTGCCTTAATAAGTCTAAATCTACATTCTCACCCACATTTAGCCCAGCTTTCCTCATCATTATGACCAGATGTGCGTTCTTGGTTGGCTGAGTTGTATTCATTCTGTGCCACAAGTGTATCTTTTAATTCAGAACTTATGAAAATAAACTCACACTCAGGGTTATTCATGCACATACTACCTGATTAAATAGGGTTTCTCCCTTTGTTTTACAGAGCCAAATTACATTGATGGACGCACCTGTGTTTAAGGCCATTCAGCCAGAGGTAAGCTCTAATTATCTGACAGAGAATACAGTCTGTAAATAATTACAAGGTCTGTTGTTGTTTTGGCTTTGCACTCCAACACACTAATAAAACTAACACGATTAAGTCATATAGAACAGATTGCTAGCTTTAATTTAAAAGTACACTTACCTCAGGGATGTCACAACACATTTACGGATAGTGGGGCAAAGCCTTTAATAGGAGGGGTGTGCTTCCCTAGGAGAATTTTCTTTTTATGGCCCCAATATGTCTGTGCACTGAACAGAACAAGACACAGGTAAGACCAGTGATTAGAGGGCGGGGTTGCAGAGAGCACACAGGTGAGGGCTGTAACACATGGGCGGAGCCAGTGAAAAGCAGGAAAACAAAAACACAAGTGCATGGCTAGGCACATGAAGGAAGATAAACAAAAGCAAACACAAGAAGAGCAAGGATGTTGCAGTAAGGCCTAACGTTTATCTTAATAAGCTTTTAATAAGCTGCTCCCTATTGTCTTACTATTGTGTGAATTTGGAGACGTGTTGGCACAGTTGAATAATGAAGAATGAATAAAAAAAACTATTAATTATTTAAACTAAGAATATACATTTATCTGCACAGTTTGTCAGCCATCCCCCACCCTGTCCTAGACCACCACTGACCAGATTTTGTTTGGATGGTGGACCATTCTCTGCAGAGCAGTAATGCTAAAATAGTAGTGGTGTCTTGCGGTGGTCCCTCTCCATTCATACATGGCGTCGAGGGTGTACATGTGAATTAGCTAAAACATGCGAATCACAGCTCTTTTCTTTTCATACACCCTCTAATTTCAGGGGACTATAAGCAGTTGGACACAATATTTTCAAAAACAATTATGTTTTTTCCTTTGCAATTTATGATATAACTATTAAAATAAGGACAGTAAATGTAAAATGCTAGTCTCTAGTAATTCTGGTTACTCCGTTTTACACACTTACCGTACTTGCGGTAATTTTATGTTTATATTGTTGCCAATTTGGAACAGACTCTTTTACATGCTGCGTTCATTAAATCTTCTATCACTCTGCAGACCTTGTAAAATACATGAACATTCCCTCCAGCACGTATAAACTGTATGAGTAAGATTTTTTGGGAAAACAGGATGTCCCATCCAGTGTGGTATTTGCCGGTGGCTTTGTTTAGTTTGGCCTGAGGCATTATGGAATCTTCAAAAAGATGGATAACTGCAGTTCTTGATTTCTCAATAAATGTTTAGCTTTTCAGCTTTCTTGGCCTGAGACACATCATGAAACTCTGAAAGCAGGGATTTTTCCATTCCAAGAAATTTCTACCTCATGTATTTGGCACACAGTATTCACAAGGAATAACATTAAGTATACTGCTGTCACATCAAATGGAAAGAGAATCAATTAAAAAAATTGTCTGTAGCTGGCATTGTAGGTGGTGTAATGTAGGAAGTGAGGCTGACAGCATCCATTCAAAACTTTAAATGTTTATTGAATATTTCAATACTAAAAAGGGATAGTCCTATATCTTTGCATGAACTTATTTAAACTCTGAATGCTGTGTCACTGAATAAAAAATAAAAAATATAGAGCTCAGTAACTTTAATGTGGCACTGTCAGAGGATGCTACTGTTACCACAAGTCAAATTGCTGGATCTTCCCCTGTCAACTGTAAGTGCTATTATTATGAAATTGAAGTGTCAAGGAGCAACAGCAGCTCGCAGAGTGGGGCTGCTGAGTGCTATAACAAGAGGCACTAAAAAATTGCTTATCCTTTATTGCCTTACAAGTTTTTACATTGTAGCAGCAGCTTGAATTTGGTGGCACTATAGCACCAGTTGGAAGATGTAGAAAGAAAAAGAATCAGTGGTTGCTGGCACTGCTAGCTAATTGTTTTGTGTTGTGAGTTTGAGAGCCCAAATTTTGACAAATGGAGGATCATACTTATTATTTAGCACAAGAAAAAGCAAAGGAGGGTGAATCCTCATCATCAAAGAAGCTAAAACATGACAGCCGTATTTACTTAAGGTAGGGGTTGGGGAGGTATTCAGTTGGTGACTGTCTGTAACCTCACCTCTAGATGCCACTAAATCTCACACACAGCACCTTTAATGCCCATGGTTTTAGATTGGGATGTCCAACAAGCTCGCGTAGGTGTGATGGCCAGGTGTCCACATACTTTTAGTCATATAGTCCACATTGCATAAGACCAACTTTAATCTAATAAGAAGGCCATTGCTGATTTAGGTTTTCTAGGGCTTTTTACATGGTATACCATTTTCTTGTGTAATCGTATATGTACATATACATTATACAGAAAATGTCTAGAAAGCTAGTACTGTGTTTTAACAGTTTGTGACAAGTCATAAATGACTAATGTACACCTGCTGAAGTGAAAGAATGAGCTGTTATCTCTGAGACATAGTGTACGTGGAGAATTCTACAACCTGGCAACCTTTCACCACTTACGTTTATAAGCAGTTTTGATGGAGAATAACATTTCAGTTAACGTGTCATGTAATAACATATCAGTTAATTTCTTTTTGGACTGGTGACAAAATACCAGGGATGACAGGGATCACCTTCCGTTTTATTTATTCACTATTCATTATGAACATCTCAGCCTTTAATGGGCTTAAATGTTTGTACTTTTTGCTGGTTCTTACCATGATAATGTCACATATTTTGAATTCATAAATATTTTGGAGATCTGCTTGGTTTCCTTTTAGGACTTCGATGGAATTAAGAGCTTGTTTCTGATAAAATTACCAGCATTTGATGCAACAGATTGCATGATGCATTCGAAATCAGATTAGAAATTTTTGACTTTTTGAATCTGCTTGGATCACCTTACACATCTGGCTGCATAAAGAAAGAATGAACAAACGAAAAGAGTTAGCCTCCTTACAATAAAAATTGGGATGGAAATAACCTATTTTGGCCATTCCCGTTTAACTGTAGTACCGTCCACAATAAAGCAGAGCATCAAAGAAAAGTGTTAGACTGTATTTTATGATGTCTGGAAATGATTTAAGCTAGGTGACGTAAGTGCGTGAGGAAGTGCTATGTGTGAATCATTTCTCCTGAAGTAGAGTGTGGAATTGGCTTAATATTTGCTGGTGCTGCGTATGTGCACGAGTTTCCCTCCTTTTCACATGGGAACGTGGGAACAACTTCGGTCTCTCTTTGCTATCTTTGTTAAGCAGCTTGAAAACAGAATAATTTAATGGCACTCAATGATAAGCTCCAATTGTTAGAGCTAGGCCTTCAAGTTGAGCCATAAATATGAAAACTCGAGCAAAAGAACCACCTCTATCATAACACTAATTTTTACTAATGTCCGTATGGGATTCTAGTAGTTTGTTGCACTAAGCTAACAATAATTCACAATAATTTTTTGGCACCTCTAGATTAAACGCAGACATTTGAAGCTTCTTTTGCATGTTTTACTTGAAGCTTGTTACGGACATACTGGCATATAGTTTACCTTGTAGCAGTTTCACAGTGACTCTGTCAGTAGAGAGGTCTGGTATTAGAGCTGCCACCACTGTTTTTCATTTCTAACAACCCACTCATATTCACAGTCAGTGACATATGCACTTCTAGAAGGTCTATAGTGCCCTTTTTTGTCACGAAATTGGTACCGCCTATTAGAAGGCTGATGCTGAAAGGCTAATACATGTGTTTATCACCACCTGCCGTGATATTTATAATGCCCCTTTTCATGGTTTTAGTATCATATATTTATAGAAGTTACAGTATGTTCAGGATTATGCAGCCTGTGTTTTTTGCTCACACCTCTCTGCCCTACATCACCCCTGGGTCTAAGTCTGTTTTAAAGAGAAAGAAGATAAAGAAAGTTTTGTCGGTTAATTATAAAGAGCGTGTTACCATATTCTCTATTGCTGGATGTGGTTCTAAACTGACTTGGCACTACAGTGACCACTTTTAAACCAATTCTAATAACAGTTGGACCAACACAAGTTAAATCGAGAGTAGTAAATCAAGTTCAGCAATTCATGGGCAGAGCTGGAGATGTGATAGCAGGATTAGCCAAATTTAGTTAATTATTACTAAATCATTCTTAACAAAGAAGCTGTTTACAATTGAACATAATTTTTAGCTGAAATTAATTGAATTTATTTTTTTTTTGAGTGTTATGGGCCCTATAAAACTATAAGAGAGAGCACCTTTTTTGTGTAGTGCTTCATTTCTTTTTATGCATTGCCTGAGAGTGCAGAAGGCTCCTGCTCTTAATAGTTTTAATCAGTTTCAACTCATCTTTTTAAAAGAATGATTTAGGAATAATTTGCAAAAATCAAATTTACACAATTTCCACTTAACCCAGACATATTTTGTGTCCAAATTTTGCTTCTTTACTTTAGCACTGCAGCTACAACGTTGCTAACAAACACTGTTAATCTTCTGTTAATACATCCTCAAAACTTCAACCATCTCAAACTCCAGCTCTTCATTAAGGATGCACAGATGTGTAGATGTGGTTTAGAGTATGATGACAAAACTTCACTGTGTAACTGAATGCAGACAACCATTTTAAACCGCAGGTGCTGTACTGAATTCTGACTCTCTCAAACAATCCAGCTCCTTTTCATGTGCGCACATTTGTATTTTTTTTTTGTTTGTTTATAAACATGTATATTAAGATTTACAGATACTTAAAGATACTTAAAGATAAAGAGAAGCAATATAAATTGTGAACTCAATCTGTTTTGTCCATTTGCCTGTGTGACATGAAGGGCAGTCAGAATTTTACACAGCACCACGTCCTTCATCATATCAGATCTTCACGACCTTAATGAAGACTTTGATGTGGCTTGTGGAAGTTGAGAGAAGTTTTGGGGATGTACTTACTTTAAAGATGACTATTGGGTGACTATTGACATCTAGTGTTTGTTGGTGACTTTAGCCTCGTAGCTCCAGTGCTAAACTTAAAAAGCAGAATTTTAACTGGTATACTTTGCAGTTTAATTTGAGGTTCAACTTATTAGAAGGTAA